GAGAGGGAGGAGGGTCATTTGCCCAAGGCCACACAGGTAGGAAGTACAGGGTTTGCATTTCATCCAGGCAGCCTGATTCTAGAATGTTCTGCGTCCAGGGCTCACTGCTCCTCGGGCCCCGCCTGCTGCTAAAGAGCGCTTCGGTTTATTTCAACAGCAAGGACAGTACAGTCCACCCAGTGCAGTGACCGGATTTGCTTCCAGAGGGCAGGAAGAGTTCTCTTTACTTTTGCCCCCCTGGGGCTTGGGGGGGGTGTCTGGGGACAACGCAGGGGCACTGGGGACATCCCGAGCACATTCCTATTGGAGGAATGGACATTGGACACAGTGCGTGAAGGTCCTCGGCCGTGGGCACAAGGGACCCTGATAGACCACTGCTCCGGCTCGGTGTCACCTGGCCGTGCCCTCGGCTAGGCTCTGACACACAGACTGGAGGCCTCAGCACTTGAGGTAGCTGCAGGTGCCAAGACCAAGCCTCGGAGGAGCTCTGTCCTGAACTGCCAGCTTCACACCTCGGTCTTTCCGGTCCTTTCTTGATTTCTCCGAGAAAACTCCACACACAGAACCAGGTGCATGAAGTCATAAAGCAAACGAAAAAGAACCTCAGACGTCAGAGTGTCCAGCGGTCACTTCATGAGACACACACGCACCACCAGGCAGAATTGAGCGAGACCCCTGTTGAATCTGACCTCAAGGAGCTTACTGTCCTGTGGGGTCAGAGGGCAGACAACAGACACCAAAGGTACTGGCTGCAAAGAAGAAACAGCTCTGGCTGCCAGGGGCCAGAGAGATGGGCCCAGGGGACGTGACGAAGCCACCATGAAGCTGAGATCCGGACCCCGAGGAAGAGGGCTCCGGGTAGGGAGGGTGTCACTAGAGGAGGGGGGAAGACCTTCCCTTTGGATTTTTACTTCTCTTTGACGCTTTTGTGCATTTTGGAAAATTCTGTCGTATAATGACAAAAACATACCGAGTAGATCATGAACAGCTGTTCCGTTCTTTCTCGAATGCCTTCAAAGACGGTCACCTCAGTGCCTCCCAAACGGGCGGCTGCACCTGCAGACGGCGCTGGGGAGTGGCAGTGCTCAGCAGAGGGACAGGCGTACCAGTACCTGAGAAATCATTACCAAATGCTGCTGGCTGCTGACCCACGTTGGTGGGTCGGCCCTGGACCAGCCGGCACCGTCCGTCTCCCTGAGTCTCTGGGGGAAAGTGGAAGGAAGGAACTCTCTGTCTTCTCCTTCACCGTAAGAAATGTTCCACTCTCTGCCACGGAGTTGGGATGAAGCCATCCCCCAACATGAGCCACCCGCCATCCCAGCCTGGGAGACCAGCCGTGGTGTGGAAGAGGCATTTAACCGCAGCCTCTGAGAATTTTCCTTTTCTTAATAAGAACGCCCATAAATGAACTGGCCCAGGGCATGCATCTTAAACCTGGGCTGGCCCCTGGACTCGAAGTTGGAGGGGAGTCCCGGCTATTCAGACAGGATGGGGTGAACCTTCCAGGACGTAGGAGCCAGGCTACGGGGGCTTCGGAAGGCCACTGACAGCGAAAACAACTTCAATTAAATTAAATTTAGCTAGCTCCTCCAGGAAACACGTGTAATGTTAATTTCATGGGTGTACCAATGTGTAAACCTAACAGATGATACTTAAATGAGAAAGGCAGAGAAATGACATTTGGTTAAACAATGCATCAGTGGGTAGGATTTATTGAAATTGCCATTTAGAAAAAAAATACGAGCACAATTGAAAGTTGAGCAAGCTGTCACCCGGGCCCGGTCACCCAGGCGTTCTCGATACGACGTACTTGAGCGGAGAGTGGTGGGTGGCAGGGGCTAGAGGCAATCTGGAGAAACTAGGGGACGAGGGCCACTATCTGTCCACTTTTGATGCTCGTCCAGTGGCTCTTGGCCTGGTCAGATATGATAACTTGTTTATCTCTCCAGTTCCGATGGTAATGTCACCTGGGTGGGAAGAGGCTTTTGCCATGTTCAGATAACATGGTATTCAAATATGTGGAAAAGACCACATGGCCTGCCTGTCCTTTTGATCTCTGTCCCCTGGCAGGCATGGAGGGGGTAGATGTGGAATGAACGGGCCATAGGGCACCCCTTGCAAGTCACCACCACAGTCTCCTGGTAGCACAATCACTGTGTCCTTGATTTGGGGGTAGTCACACCTCCAATCCATACTGTTTCCTGGCTTCTTGGGGGTCCAGGCCTCCGTCCACTCGCCTCCACCCTCCTTTTCTATATTAACAGAACCTGGTTCTTGAGTCAATAGAGAACAGGAAGGTGATTGATTGGAAGGAAACAGGAATCTGAAAGATGCTGACCCAAGAAAATGTGTACACGGAGCTGCCAGAAATATAATATTGACAAAGGCCAGCATTTTGTTAAGCACTTACTACCCGCTAGGCATGGCGCCAAGAATTTGGGTGTTTGGTTGGTTGGATTTCTTTCCATTTAATACTCTCACAAATGCTATGGTACAGGTGCCATCAGTATCCTCATTTTATAGAGAAGGAAAGAATTGAGACTGAGAGAGGTTATGTAGCATAATCGAGATCACGCAGCTAGTGGCAGGGCTGGGATTTTAATCCAGGTGGATCTGATTTCAGATTCAATGTACTTGAGTGGAGAGTCGTAGACAAGACACCACTCCATCTTGCCTCTAATGTTTTAAGAACGTGGCTTGAGTGGCCGATAAGGAAAGGAAGGTGGCTGTGTCTTATGCCCAGCTTGGAGAACTAAAATCCAGGATTAGTCAGGGCAATGCTAGGTTCTGCTGCAATAACACAGAGTCCCTCAACTCACAGTGGCTTGACGCAGAACTCCTGGGATGTTCTGGAAGCTCTCTTGTAGCACTTTCCTTTAGGAGGTGACTTGAGGACCCAAGCTACTTCCACTTCAACTCCACCATTTCACAAGCCAGAGTCCTTCTCTTACAGTGCACAGAAGGGATCAGGATTGAGGTGATGAATTTACCCAACAAATTGCTGGGCCAGGAAGTGACCATCCACTTCCATTCATGTCCCCAAATAGGGAGACCAAGTCACAGGACGCCACCCAGATGCGTGTGAGACTATAACAGCAGAAAGAACATGGAACTCTGAGGATCATTTACAGTGCATGCCCCAGAACCAGCACTATCCCCTAAGCCAGCACTTCTCCCTAGTACCCTGGGGACATCTGCAAAGTCTGGAGATTGTTTTGGTCGCCACAAGTGGAGGAAAAAGTGCCACTGGCATCCAGAAGGTGGAAGCCAGGGATGCAGCTAATCTTACTTTGCACAGGACAAGGCATAAACGGGCTCAAAACGTCACGTGCAGAGGTTGTAAAATTCTGATTAGAAACCAGTGTTTCTCTAGAAGATTCACTGGGCAGCTAACTCAAAACGCAGACCCCAGGGCCCCTCCCTTGAGACCGAGTCCCAGCAGAGTTTGCAGAGGCGCCTAGAGACCATGAGGGCCACTCTCTGTGGACCACCACTAAGAAAACTTCCCCTGGAAGGTGGGTGACGACCCCCAGGAGTGAGTGGGAAGAGGCGCTGAGGGAATCATCCAGAGACGCGCCTCAGCCGCACAGGGTCAGCTGCAGGCAGCGATGCCAGGGCAGAAAGGCTGGCATTTGTTAAGTGCCCCTCTCCGTCTTCTCTCTCGCAAGCCTTGAATTGCAGGGAGCAGATTCTAAGACTAACCTGTCAGCCAGTGACAACTAAATTACTAACCCCGCTTCCCCTGTGCCCCATATCCCTGTCAGACACGCGGCCGCCTTAGCAGCGCACTGATTCCTGGAGACGTGCGCTCAGCATCAGGGAAGGTGACCCCTTTGCAGGAGCATAGGCACGCAGTCACGTGTACTTCCAAGTGGCCAGGGGACTCGGGCTGGGCTGGAAATAACTGCACAGGGAGAGAGTCGAGTCTTCCCGAGCAGTGGAGCAAGCGGAGCGGCTGAGGCTCTTCATCAAGGCCCCTTCTGCCTGCTCCTTGGCGCTCATTAGCACCCACTTCCCGGCATCCTTTGCAGTTAGGTCCAGCCAAGTGGCTCGCGTGAGCCAATCAAATGCAAGCGTGAGTGACGAGCAGGTCCCCAGGGCTTGACCCGCACGCCTCCTGCGTGAACTCTTGCACACTCCCTCCTCCGCTGTGTGGGCGCAGAGAGCGAGCAGCTTCAGAGGCAGGCAAAGCAAACAGGCGCTGCTGTGCTCCAGTGGAACTTGACTTACGGACCAAGTGGCCACTGGACTTGGCGCTTAGCAAACCCCAGTTTAAGAGATGCTCGGCCAGCCCTATACCGAGTGCTAGCCTTCCAGAAAGAGCCGTCTGATTAGACGTTAGGCCCTGCGTGACCTCACAGGCCGGCGATTCTTAGGAAACGCAGAGGCGCAGGTTTGCGCACGCACGCATGCGCCCACGCACGTAGTGGGTCCTTCATTTTCATCCTCAACCAACCACAGGATGAAAATATTTGAACAAAAATTGTACTGAATATACACAGACTTCCCCCCCGCCGCCTCTTGTTATTATTGCATACACAAGACAGTATAAAAACAACTGACATGGCCCTACAGGGTAGTGGGTATTACAGGTCATCTAGAGAGGATCTAAAGCGCAGGGAGGATATGGGTAGGTTATATGCAAATAGTGCAGGCACCGTGGTACTTCAGGGCCTTGGTGTCCTTGGAGTTCGGTATCCACGGGGGTCTTCAAACCAGTCCCCTGGATCTCTGAATGTATAATCAGAGATCAGAGGACTGAATGTATCATCAGAAGGAACACCTAGAGCCCGCCCATCCCTGCTTCCTTTGCAGGGTCAACTAGAGAATTTTCAGGGTCCATTATCGATGAAAAGGTGCGATGCTTTGCTAAGAATTAACCAAGAGTTTTCAAGATGGTGAAAACAGACACTAAATCAAACACAGGCCCTGAGCGCGCACACCCAGGCCCAGGGTGCAAAGTCCGCCAGGCAGGGGCTGCTTATTTGCATCCCTGACAGCCTGGAAAGTTTTTCTGACGAACTTCGTGACAAGTCCAGATTCTTGCCACCTGCCTGCTGCTTGAAGGGTTCCCAGAATGGCTTTACACATCACAGGAAGAAGCGGAAGAAAATAAGAAACCCAATTTTCTTTTAGTATATTACTTGTCAGACAGCGAAATGGGATATAATTATGGTGTGACATTTCCAACAGCAAATATGTTCCAGTGTAAGCAATTAACACCGGTTCTTTTGGCAGGCTTAAAAAGATTACTCAGAGTCTGTGGTAAGTTACAATGCCCCATGAATAATAAATAATGTAATATCGCAGCTAAGTTGCAGGCTGGGACCAAAGTTCAGACTTTCTTGATGAAAACGGATCGGGTGCTGTTAACCCTCTGTCGACTTTGCATGGGTTCTGCGGATTCACATCACGAGTTCTCTGGATTTATCTAAATTACTTATTTACCTTGCTCCTGAGAACATCTGCTAAAAGAAAGGGAAGAAAGGAACCTGCATGTCTTCATGGCAGCTGCTAGAAGTCTGCACAAGGCAGTGGGTTGCAAAGTGACCCCTCAGGGACAAGAGAGGCTGGAGACATGGCTAGCACCAAGAGCTGTCTGGGTGGAGTTGCCTTCCTTTAATTACGGAGTCCTAAGATTTGGAAGAAAGGGACATCAGGATGCCTGGCTCTCAGAGAGTCTCAACACAGACTGTGTCTGTGCAGCCTGTGACCCTCAGCAATTACACTAATAAGAAGTTAAAAGGCACACAGCCCACACAGGGGGCATTCAAGGTCACAGTTGTGCACAAAAGCTGAGGGGCCGGTGGCTCCCCTTGGCAGGCTGACTCTATCGGCACTCTGGGCTGGATAATCCTCTGTTGGAAACGAAGTGTCCTGTACCTTGGAAGATGTTGTTGTGGTTTGGGTATGAGGTGTCCCCCCAGAGCTCCTGTGACAATGTAGGAATGTTTGGAGGTGAAGCAATGGGACTATGTGAGTTGGAATCTAATCAGCGCATCAGAGTTTGAGTGGACCGACGGGTGGCACCTGTAGGCAGGGGGCGGGCGTGGCTGTAGGAGGTGGGTCACTGGGTGATGCCCTGGAAGGGCTCATCTTCCCTGTGATCCCTTCCCCAATCTCTGCCTCCTGGCCACCGTGAGCAGAGAAGCAGTCCCCTGTCATGCCCTTCAGCCATGATGTCTGGCCTCACTTGGGCCCAGTGCAATGGTGGCCGACCCTGAACTGGACGTCTGTCACCGTGAGCCCACATAACATTTCCTCCTCTGAGTTGCTCTTATTTGGCTCACAATGACAAACAAAACAAAACAAACAAAACTGATTAACTGATATACAACATCAACCCTGGACTCTATCCATGAGTGGCCAGGAGTACCCTCCTTTCAATTGTGACAGCCCCAAAGTCTCCAAACATGGCCAAATGTCCCTGGGGGTCACTAACTTTGACAGGTTGGGTCCACCACTGAGCGGCCTGAGCCGATGACTTCATTGCTCTGAGTCTCGGGTGCCATTTGTTCAGTCGCTTGATATAAACAGTCACTGAGCACAGCTGAGCTGTGACAGGTGCTGGTGATGCACAGGGGCACAAGCCTGTCCCTGTCCCCAGCAAGGCAGCTAGAAAAACCAGAGGGCAGGCCGGCACGCACACCAGAGTCCATGCCACGGGACACTTGGTGGAATGAGGCCTGGGTGCAGGGTGGTGGGGGCTGAAGGGAAAATGTCCCCCCCAATCTTGGGACTTGGTGGAGAAGATGGCACCTGCAATGTGAGAATTTCCCAGGTAGCCCTGGGAGGACGGGAACTCCAACTGGAAGAGACTGCATTTGCAGAGGCGTGGTGGCCTGAGTCACAGGAGCCACCAGGGCTCAGGGATGAGAATTCTGTGGTGGGGGTGGGGGAGCAGCAGCAGGAGCCAGGCGGGCAGGAGCGGGCGGAGGACCAGGGGTCCCGAGACCGTCAGGGCTCCCTCTGTCTTGCCAACCCAGTGAACTCAGCGCACATCTCCCTCCCGATCTGGGTCAGCAGGAGACCAGGCAGGAACTGATTAGCAGTGTTCACTCAGGCCCGGGAGGGGAGACCAACCCCCCTGGCAACCTAGGACGGCCCTGAGTTCTCATCAGGAGATGCGCAGGGTTTGGTTTTTAGCTCATACTTGAAGCTTTGCTTTTGTTTTTTAGAGAAAAGACAGACAAGAAGCCGAAGCTGAGGCCAGAGGAGGAGTTGGGAGCTGAAGGAATCCTGTGAGAGAGCATTAAGGTAGGTCCACCGGGGGCCGCGGGAAGGTGGGGAGGAGGAGAGGGAGACAGAGACTGTCCCGTTAGAGTGGAGGGTGGCCCCGTGGATTTAAGGGAACGGGAACAGTAGGGAGATTCCTGAGTTTCTGGCTTGGGCCAGCTGGAGAACTCATCCAAGATGTTCTAGAAGAATCTGGAGATGGAAAACTGGTGGGTTCTTTCGGGGACCCTGAGACGCCTGTGGGAACTCAAGATATGAGATGTCCATTGACGCTGTTGTATCTGGGCCTGGACTCCAGGCCAGGGACGAGACCAGAGAGGCCCAGCCACAAATGAGAGAGTCACCTCCTGCCGGCGGCTTCTCTCCTCATCGACAGGGACTCCCGATGGCCAGGATTAGTGAAGGGCGACAGAAGAAAGTCATCACGGCATAATCCCCGGCCCGTTTTCTAGGCATCACTGCACTCACAGGATCTCTGTAATCCAATTAGGCGACGCGGGAAGCTGTATCTTAACTCCTGACTTCATTGTGACTTGCCTGGTGGCAAGCAAACCTTGTTTCATAAGGTGTCACCTACAGCACGGGGTGGTGCATACCAAATGACCGCAGGAGGCTGATGGAGGTTGGGCCCAGGGGAGGGGGCTGCTGCCATCTCAAACAGCCAATGGGTGACCTCGAACCCCCATGTCCTCATCAACCAGGCTTCTGATTGGAGGAGACCTCATCTCCCTTCTCTCGGCCCACTCTGCTCCTCCGCATCCCTGATGGCCGCCCATGCCCTCTGACTGGTGACCAGAACTCAACTAACAGTAGAAAGGACAACAACTTGGGGATGGTTGTCATTTATTGAGTGCCCACCTTCTACCTGGCTCTGTTTGAGGAAATTCACACATTCCATTTGGCCACAGAAACCCTTGGGCCAAGCAGAGAGTTCTAAGGATGAGAACGCTATGAGTCAGAGAGGTTAAGGGGTTTGTCTAAGGCCACACAGCTAGTTAGGGCTAGAGCAAGAGTTCAAAGATCCAGATCTGCGTGGTTCCAAAAGATGACATTGGTCACCTCTGGCACCAGGCCTTCCGGGGTGGGACTCCAGAACTGACACATTGACAATGGCCAAAGGGCCCCCTGAACTCCAACCAGGGAAGTACCACGAGCTGATACAGAGAGTCCTAGCCTGCAGGTTACTGGAGGGTTTGCCTCCATCTTGCTTTTAGGAGCCCAGCTGTGTTTCTCTGGGTTGGTTGAACATCACCACAGTTAAACCTAGCATCAGAAGACACCAGGGGCGAATGGCTACCTGCGCTCTCTCTCAGGCCATCAGGAGGCCAGAGAGGGTGGAGGCCAGAGAGGGTGGAGGCCAGAGAGGGTGGAGGCCAGAGAGGGTGGAGTCTGCTCCCAGCACTGCCCATTTAAGGTCACTGAGAGAAGCCGGCTGAGCGGGGCTGTGGGGAATCTCCCCGGGGCTAGGTGAATCAGAAGGAGCCCCTCACCTGCCCAACAGGATCCACCCCTTTTACAGCCAGCTGTTTGCCTGGGGATGCAGTCCAATGTGCTCAGTCTTCTGGTTTATCCAGAAGCCTCTGGGAATACTGATCCTTAGGGGCGATATTCCAAATCTGTGTATGCCTGTGCTGGGTTGAATAGGGTGCCCCCAAATTCATGTCCGATCAGAATTCAGAATGTGACCTTAGTTGGCAAGAGTCTTTGCAGATGTCAGCAGTTAAACTGAGATTAGCTCCTGTGGATTAGGGTGGGCTGCAAAGGCCATGCCCAGTGGTCTCCTAAGAAGGCCACAGGAAGGCCACACAACAAGGCTGGTGGGGGGTGGAGGGGCATGGATCTCAGCAGCCACCGGAAGCTGCAGGAGAGGCCTGGATTCTCCTTCAGAGCCTTGGTAATTCTAGAATAGTGCACGTCCACTGGGCGTCCGCTGAGGGCTGGCGGTGCCGCACACTTGGCCCTTCTCCCCTGGGGGTAGCAGAGCCTGGCTGGCTGGCCGGCCCTGTGGTGCAGGGTTAAGGTGCAGGCTCAGGCGTCAGGAGCTGACTTTGAATTTGGAGCCACACCAGGGAGCTGTGTGATCTTGGGGAGGACCTTCAGTCTGCAGCCCTCCACATCCTCACCTTTAAATGAGAGCGTAGATCATACCCGGGTCGGAGGGTTCTGAATCTCCAGTCAGAAAACACAGAGAAGGCTTAGAGGGCGCTTTCAGGGGTGCAGGGGTGACTGGGTGACAGTGGCTTTGGTGGCAATGGCCAAGGATGGTGGTGGGAGAGGTAATAGTGGTGGGTTCTGATGGGGTGGGTAGGTGGAGGTGGGGATGGTGGTGGAGGGGGGGATGGTGGGGTATGGTGGTGCAGGTGATGGTGGGGTTTCCAAGGGGGGTGGTGGCAGTAACGAAGGTGATGGTGCTCTCTGGCTTCCCTCTCGGCAGGTGGATCGTACCCACACCTGCTGATTTAGCTAATGACGATTCGGCTTTCCCGGGCACCTTCTCGGTCACGGCTCCTCCCCTCGATGGCGCTGCACGTGGCTTCAGTACCTGCCATTCCGCCATCTGCCATGTCAGGGTTCCTGTCTCTACCGGTCCCCTTGCTCTGCCGGCCCTTGGCCTCCCCTGGCACCTGCAGAGCACGGCCACTTCGTAAACGCAGTTGACAGCAAGCGGGTGGATTGGCGAGGCCCTGGCTCTTCCGACGCGCCTCTCCCAGCTCCCAGGGAAGGAGAACAGGAGCAGCTCAGTGGCATCCTGCCCCCTGCCAGCCCCAGGGAGACCTCCAGGTGCTCAGAGCTCCGGGCAGAGGACGGGCTTCCACGCAGGGTGGACACTGACCCTCTGCCGGAAGACAGCCTGCAGCCCAAGCAGGGCCTGGAGGAAGCAGCCTATGACCGCAGGGGGCCTGCAGGACGGGCAGGAGGCCCCAGCAGAACCAGAGGAGGAAGGGGGGAGCCGCGGGCGCCTGACCTGCCAGGTGGCTCGCAGCCATGTCCAGCTTCAACGCCCAGCTCCCAGGGGGGGCTCACACTGTGTTTTGCTTTTATTTGTTTTCAGTTAAATCAGCTGTCAGTTAACGCAAGAGACTCCAGACACTCAGGTTTCTTACGAATAAATAAATGAATACCATCAGAAGGGCAGACAAGCCTGGGCCTGGAATCTCCCCAGCGAGGGCGTCTGGTGCTTTCCAGGGCAGCCGCTCAACAGGGCCAGCCGTCACCTGCCCGCGCCAGGCCTTCCTGCCCGGCTCTGCCCCCGTGGGTGCTTTGGGACCTTTGCTTTAGATGACACCCGTACACACAGTGCCGGCATCGTGCAGGTACGCAGTGCGTGCTTACGGTGCCGCAGCCTGGCCCTCACCTTGGCTCTGCCCTTGGCTGGCCAGGTGACCACAGGCCAGGTACCTGCTTTGGATCCTCCCGGGCCAAGCGAAGATCCTAAATGACAGCCGCTCCTCTGTCCTGAGGGATTCCGTGACCATTCACCTAAGAAGTGCTTACAGAGCTATTCAGTGGGGATCCTTCAAAGGGTGGGGTGTGGCTGGCGCTCAGAGCACACGTTTCATCAGAGGCGGGTTCTGCTGTCCCCTCCCGCTAACTGCAAAGGAGAAGTGGGATTGGAGGAGCGCAATGCCTAGCTTGTGAGTGACAGTCAGGATTCACACGCAGAGCCTGCCCCCCACCCACGTCCCTCACCTCTGCTGGCTCTAGGGTCTTCCCTCCCAAAGCCACCTGCACACTGTACGGTCCTTCCCATCTCAGCCTCCGCAACGCTCGCTCAGGGTCCCCACTGACAGTAACCAGTCAGCCCTGTCTCTGCCCTTCCCACTTGGCTGTGAGCCTCCCAGGTCCTGAGATACCTGGGCTTCAGCACGTCGGTCCTCCGACTCCCTATGAATAATGAATGAGCCTCTAATGAATTAATGAGCCCGTGGATAAATAAGCCCACGAGAAATCAATCGAATCCGCTATTGGGTTTGGAGTCAGTGGAAACAAAAACAATCTAATAAAACCAGCTCATTGACTGTCTTTTCTGACATTTCTAAGATCTTGCCTGGATCATGACAGACTTCCTAGTGCACTTGAAGTGCTGTCCCCACGGGACCCCCCGAGGCTGAGCCACATGATAAATACAGAAATAAACCAGCTTCTCTCCTCCCCCACCCTCAGGCTGCTTCCGCCAGGGGTGAAAGGAACCCAGCATTGTCTGGGGCAGAGCCGTAGTAAATGATGACTTAGCCCACGGAGAAACGTCCGTCTGCAAGACTGTGTTAGTTATTATCCTATCATAATAAGGTAGATGGCACCGTCGTAATGAATATGGCCATAACGCTTTGCTGGCAGTTTCATCAATGCGTTCCTCGACTGCGACTGAGCAAAAATAGGTAACGGAGGACCATTTGATCTACATTTTTATTAATTTGGTGCCATTTGGTCTCCTGGTTATTTTAATGATCTCTCATTATGAGAAAATGGAGAAACTTCCGGGAAAAGAAATAATAAAAAAGTAGTCCCCTCTTGCTTTGTTTGATACATCGCTTTGTTTTAGTGTGGAGAAGAGCTTGTTCCAATCCGGTTCTGGAAGGGATGTTCGAAATTTAATATGTTCTGGATTTTCAGAAAGAAAATCCTGATCTCAGAAGTGTGATGAAGCTGTTCAGCTGTTCCCAAGACTAAGCGAGTTGAGAGTGGCCTGGAGTCTGCAGTCTGAATCACCACGATCGTTGCATATTTTTTAAGACCTACTGTGTGCTACGCATGGTGCCTAGTGAAACCTCTCTAGTCCTCTCATCCCTCCGAGGAACTGGCACCCCATTTACAAATGAGGTTCAGAGAGGTCGAGTGACCTTCCCAAGGCCACACAGCTAGAAAGCAGTCTCTGAACTTGGAGGACCTCCATCTCTGTGCCTCTCAGTATTCTTTATGCGTACAAGAGGGACTGTTGGGTTTCTCAGTCCTCCAAGATGTGCTGAGTCACGGCAGGAATTATGCATTCAGGATACCGAGTGGGGCGTGATGACAAATGTGTTCTTAGCAGTTCCTTTGAGGATGGTCTCTCTCCTGATCGTAGCTTTCAGGCTTAATTGTAGCTTTCACATCTGCCTAGTGCCTGCGACCGTTCCCAGAAATGCAGCAGACTGGCCAGGGCATCCGAGTGTCCTCTAAGGAGCAGCTTCTGTCCGAGTCCGAGTTGTTCCTGGGTGTCACCAATTGGGTATTTTAACCACACCCGTTGTTCTCCATCATGTGCACGTGTGGGGGGGAAGGAGGGGCCAAATCACAAAGAGGTGGAGACGCTTCTGAGAGGGAACTGGGGACAGTCGGGTTTCTCCTCATACTGGGAATTGTAGGATCTTGTCCTCACTTAACCCAGTGGGCTGGAAGGGCCCCACCATCCTGTCCGTTATTGTTGACAGGGTTGGACAGGCAAGCCACAGGGGCCGGGGCCTCCACGGGAGGAGGGCCTGGTGTGAGACCGGCGTGGGCATCAGGTTGAGCTTCAGACACCAGGTTGCCGGATCTTTCCATCCATCTCCAGGGAAGCTGGAAATCTGGGCATTTCAATGGAGGCCTCCAGTTTTTAATCATTAGCAAGGGATTGAGGAGGGAGAGTGAGCTTGGTTCCAAGGTTCGGTCCATGGTTGGCTGAGTGCATGGCTGGGGTCCAAGGTGAGGCAGAGCATCATGGCGGAGGGGTGTGGTGAGGGAGTGCTCGGCTCCTGAGGACCAGGAATCAGAGACAGTCAAAGGGGTCACCGGAAGGAGGCCTAGGTGGCCCCCCTCCTCCAGCCACGCCCCACCTGCCTACAGCTACCACCCAACGGGTTCAAAGGAGGAAGGACTGACTCGGCGTTAGCTCTCACAACCCAGTCATCTCACCTCTGAGCATCCTGCGTCAACACAGGGGCTGAGGGAGGCCCCCGGAACCAGACCCAGGCCAGCAGCGTCTAGAAGACAGCAGGACGTTCCCGATGCAGGGACTGATCTGATGTGGAGGATATTCTTAAGAAGCCTGGCTTTGGCCGAGGGGGTAGGATCGAGCGGCCGAAGCTGGTGGGCCATCTGAGTGGCGATGTCCCTGGCCCATTAATGTTCTGCAGCTGCCCGAACAAAATAACCCCGACTGGGTGCGTGAGCAGCACAAATCAACCGCCTCACAGTTTCAGAAGCCGGACATCCCGAGACCAAGGAGTCGGCGAGCTGGGTTCCTGCGGAGGGGCTTGGGGGAGGATCTCTCCCTGCAGCTGGTGGCTGACGGGCGTCAACATCCCTTGCCGTGAAGTGACACCACCCCAGTCTCCACCTGCAAGTTCCCCCGGGCCTGTCTGTTCTCCCTTTGGGTGTGTCTGGGCCCAACTTCCCCTTTCCGTAGGGGCACAGTCACAGTGCATCAGGGCCACTTTAATGGCTTCGTTTCAACTCTAGCACCGGCAAGGACCCGGTTTCCAAAGCAGGTCACACTCACAAGTTCTGGGGCTTAGGGCTTCGATGCAACCAAGAAGATCTCCTGAGCCACGGAGGGTAGGTTCTGAGACTCTGGCAAGAGGCGGATGTGGGGACGGTCAGCATTCAAGTGGCTGTTCCACACAGACCGTAACACGAAGAACAACTCCAGGGGTCTCCCAGATTTAAGAGACAAAGGATCAGGGGATGCGCAGCCATGTTACTTGGTGTAAAATCTGGTGCATCTCAAACTTTAACTTTCATAAGGTGGAAATAATAGGACTCAGTAAATAATCTATTATTATTATTATTATTATTATTATTATTATACAGTTAGAGCTATGCTTTCCGGCATTTTTCCCCCACTCCCAGTGGGGAGCGAAGACAAGTTAGAGACGTTTTTCCTCCAAATGGACTTTTCTCACCTGCAGGTTGGCCGCCCCGGGGTGGCCCCTGCCCTGCCCTCTCCCTTCCCACGCCCACCTGGGTGACCTGGTAGAAGGGACGGGTGGAGTCTGGGGTTGGAGATCAATGCCCTTTGCCCTGACAAGCAGTGGATCCGTTTCCAGAACCTTTCTCACGGCCTCCGGAAGCACACAGGTAATTATCCCAGCCGCGCTGGGTTTCAGAAGAGCTGTGGAGGGCGCCCGTGGCAAAGGCCGCTTCCTTCCTGAGAGACGCAGAGGTGTAATTAGAACCCGAGACGGCAATCACCAGCATTGTATCCGACCGGGGTCTAATTCCACTCTCTAGGAGACCATGGGAGCGTCAGTGCTGCAGGTGGCCTGTCGGCAAAATCTAGGGGCTCTTCAGTACCACCTGGGGGACCGTGTGTGTCACCTGGTTCTGAATCTGTTAGGTGAAAGGTCAGCCGAGGGGAGGCAGCTCTGCGCCTCCATCATCAAGCCTCCAGGTGCGAGGCCAGCTCCGGATCCCACTGAAGGTCGTTGTTCATTCTTTAGTCATTCAACAAACACTTGGTGGGCATCTGGTACGTGTCCGGCCATCCCGGCCTCGGCCAGCATCCTCCTCCCCGGGAAGGGGGTGTATCTGGGGCACAGACTGGAGGGTTGTTTCATAACGAGCTGCCGACAGAGTATTTTTCTCCTGACCTTTCTATCCGCCCACCCCATCCCCGAAAGTCAGCCGAACCCTTGCGAAAATAAGTTTTAGTCGTTCCTTGTAAAATCTGTAACCTATTCCCATTCATCACTCTGGAAGGCAACGGGGAATGTGTGGAATATTGCAATATGCACTGGACGTAGGCGGCAGGTGCTTTCGGCTTTGATCTGGGAACACAGGTCGCTTGCTTTTTCTGTCAAGGGACAGACTGCAGGTGGTTTAGGCTCCCGGGCCACTACTCACCTCTGCCCTGGCGGCTGGAAGCAGCCACAGACGGCACGTGGACACAGGGCCAGCTGCCTCTACCAACGCAGGCTCTGGCCGTTTCTAGCCCAGGGTCCCCGTCTTGGAGAGATCAAGCGTGGGGGTTGGGATGCCATTGGACCCCACGAAGGGACACTTCCAGATCCCTTTTCCTGTCTTCCAAGGCCCCGCCTGGTGAGCCCTGTCCAGCACCCATCCCCAGGCCCACTGGGTCTCTGCCGTGCGTTCCTTCTTTCTGTTCCCTGGTCTCGTCAGTGGCCAGCGACTCTAGAACTTCTGCACAGCCATTCCTCTGGTTCAAGAGCT